CAAACAGCGCCAAGCTTGTTACTGCAGCCTTGTTACTGCAGACTGCCCGGCTGTTTCTCGTCTTGTGATTACCCCTCCCTTTATTTAATCTTGTCTCTTCCTGTGTGCGGTGTCGGTTCATTGTTTGTCTTTCCCTTCATGTCACGCTCCATGTTTGTCCTTGAAGTTTTGGTCCTGGATTATTTACTCGTGCTCCCCTGTTTTTGGTAATGCTAACTTTGCCTCTTATTTTCTTTTGTCATTGGCCTTTTTTGTAAATTAAAGCTCAGTTTTTGTTAATACTGCTTTTGGGTCCTACCTTTTCCACGCACCCTGATACTTTCCATGGGAATTAACGGGAATTTATGGGAATAAACTGGGAATTTTCTAAATTGAAGGTTGGCTCGTCATAGGGAACTTAAACATAGTTTGGGAAAGTATATTTTAGCATAATCTTGACTAAAACAAACAGATGCCATTCAAGTACACTTGAATATCCATGCCATAGCACACTGCTTACTGCATGGCTATTGAGACCACACAAAGGTTTGCACAATCATACAGCACCATTACAGGGTTTACAATTTACATGTGAATAGTTATGTAAATTGTAATCCCTGTAATGATGCTGTATGATGTCCTTTTGTTGTTCTGTCTATTTTTTTTATGTTTCATGTGGAACCTACTTGAGCAGGTCTCCCTTGAAAAATAGATCAATGAACTCAATGGGATACACCTGGATAAATAAAAGTTTGAAATGAAAAAAAACAGGCTCACAAATGTGAGAGTGAAAAAACTGGTTGGCATTCGGGCAAACCTAAGGCTCTTTGAGCCTGACACAGAGCCATCCTCAACAAGGCTGGACAGTGACACTGAAGAGGAAGACTCAGAATTGGATGTTGATGAGGCCCAGGGAGAGCCCGTCGACTGAAAGGGTTTAGCCAAAATGCAGAGGATTGCTTGAAGGAAGATGTTCATGTTTAATGGGACTGTTTGGAGGGAGAAGGACTCTTTTCATTTAACATTTTGAATGTGACTTTGTTGGGATCTTTGGATGGGGGGTGTATTTTCGTTCATTTTTTAATGAGTGGGGTTGGGGTGGATGAGTAATATTTAACTCAACATTCCTGTTTTCGTTCTTCAATGAAACAAATAATTGTTCAATAAAATAATTAAAAACTTGTTCTGTTCTACTTACATTTTTTTAATTTTTTTAAAATAAAATCTGTTGAAATTTCATGTTTCTTTGTTGAATTTTGCATCGAATATTTCCAAAATTCCCAAGCTTAACTTTCCATGGAAACTTTCCGGAAACTTTCCGCCCCTTTGCAACCCTAGTCATGTCCAATGTCTGTAAAAATCGTATGGAAAAGAACCAAAACAAACAACGTCATCAGGGACAGTGAAAATGAAACTAAATAAAACATTATTGAACTACCATTATCGCTGATTGTTGTGTCTACCCGTGCCAGATGGTAGAAATCTGAATTGAATTTGATTTAGCTGACACTTTTGGCAAAAGCAACTTACAATAAAAAAACACAGTAAACCATTATGATAAAAACTCAGAACATCAAGAAAAGAGCGGATGTATTCGCTCAAAATAAGCCAAACTATTGTAAGTGCTGTTGCTTTAGTTTCAAATGCTAAACTCTTTCAGTCATTTTAACCCTAATTATACAATATAATACTTATTCAAGAAAGATATGCTTATCAAATATCGTCAACAAGTCTGCGTTCTGCTCTCAAAAGAAGTTTGAGTGCGTCAGGCCGAATCAAAGCAACACGATGAGAGGACTGAATAAAGCCGCCCAACAGAACAACGTTCTTCCTGGAGACGTTGACTGAGCTCTTTCTATGGAAGGCTGACAGAGAAATCAACGCACGGCTGATCTGGTGATGAAGGTCTGAGTTTGCTTTTCAGTTCAAAAGTGTGTCCTCATGTCGCTCTTATTGAAGCTTATTTGTGTGCATCACAGAACTGATCGTAAGAGTAACATTCCATAGTAGGGTGTGATTTATTTAATGGGACCAATTATAGATATTTATTTAGTTGTCAATGTGTAAAGCTGGACAACATTTACATCAGATTAACTTCATAAAATGTAATCTGACTGCAGTGATTTGATGATTTGTGATTTGACATCTAATCGCTATTTTCAGATGCATAGAGGAGAATTGATGCAAAGATAGGGACGCTCCCCCGTCTGCTGAAAATCAGTAGAATGTGAGGATTGTATCTAACAATAGTCCTGATCAATACTGTAAACATTTCATAATGCCAATTCCAACTGTCCTGTCTGGTAATGACTCAAAAGAAAGTTTGGGATTTAGACCCACAAAAAAGGGTCAACATTGTAATGCATTCAGATAAATGAGACATACCATCATTAAAAAACATCACCATTACAAACAGGATTTGATTAGGGCAAAGCTAAATTCACAGCTGGTTGTGAGCATTTCCTAACCCAAAAAATGTCTACCATCACTGGAATACATTTGATCACATTATCACCATGTTATTGTCAGAGTTACACCCGATCAATTGTATCATAACAATAAAACATGTATTCAATGATCACGCACAGTGTGTGTCTTAACCTTATATGCACATTTTATATGATTTAATTGAAAAGTAATCAATAAACCTTACAACTGTGTATAGGCGCTTGTGATCCATTAGCTCAGACTAAATGCAGATAGAGGACCAACAGGTCAGAAGGTCCCTACATGGTAGTCAATGGTCACACAGTAAGCTCTTTGAAGTAAAGAATGATAATTAGATTGAGCAAATGAGTAATTGTATAACCTACAGGAAGTCATTTAAGGCTCAGAGAGATGATAGTTATGAAGAGACAGATGGAGGCAGAGGAGACAGAGAGGAAGGCTTCTGATAAAGTGATCTGGATGAAGTGAACACTCACCCCTGGTTGTCCTGGTAGGCAGAATAAATCCTCCTGGAGTTCTTCCTGATACTTTTGTGTCTCTTGGCTGCGGACAGAGACCTGGTGCTGCCCACCACTGACTCAGACACTGTGCTCATGCTGCTCATGTGTGTGTCCGTGGGTCAGTGTGTGAGCGGACACTACCTGCTGCTGAGGAGCCCCACACACTCCGCTACAGAAGAACAGAGTGAAACACACACACACACACACACACACACACACACACACACACACACACACACACACACACACACACACATAGAGACAGGAGCCCTCCAATCACAGCCAAACCGAGTGCTTAAAGGGACAGCAGCAAACTGATACGGGGAGATACGATTCCATGAAAGCTCATTAGCATAAATCACATTAAAGCCTTTAAAAATATTCTTAAAATGAAGCTTGAGTAAGATATTCAGTTCGGTTAATACACAGGGTTGATGTGCCATTGACAAGCATAAAGGATTGCATGCAACGGGATTACGATAGCAGCACAAACACATACAAGGTACCTGACTGTATCCTTACAGTTACATGAAGAAGATGTAATCAGATTACTTGTTCATTTTTTAGAAATAGAGATTACTAACATAATGTCAATGTTACAATACATTTTAAATAGAGATTGACACATTACAAATACAGTCAAAGAGAGCATATTTCTCTTCAGTTTATTTTGTTGCTCATATTAGGTTACTGATTACATTTCTTTACAAACATATTCCATTACAATAGTTGTAATGAAATATATTTGTAAAGGAACCCTTCCAACCCTGCGTATGGATGAGCTGAGGTTCTCTTTATTTAGTTTGTTTATTCCACAAGAGGGGGCATAATAACAGATATTTAAGAAATAAGAGCTAAGTGTCCCTTCGAGGCACCGATATGTATTGAATTAATGTTCTGTATCGGTTCAAACATACTTGATTTTTTCCATCTTTTATGGAGTCATCAATGTGACCCGTCGGGAATTGGCCATACCAAGAGAAATCAGCATTATTGTTGTCAGTGTATAGGCCATGGATGTATACTGTAGACAAGAACGTGAAATGGTCGTAACATAAGAGCGCGACAGAACATGCACCCCCCTACAGAGGTCCAAGTAGCACCCATGTGTGTGTAGTTCCTAATTTATCACTCTGCTGGTCCAGAACCAGGTCACTATATTGATTACTGCAGTAAATAGCGGGTTCAGTTCTTGGTCTGCAGCTTTGGTGGGATGCTGAATATATTAAATGAGAATGAATGTCTGCAACCATGTTGATTTCAGGTCAGTGAATACGTAATTATGTTACGTATAGATAGGGAGATATGTTTATAATTAATAAGCAAGATAAATAAACTCACATGCCCAGGCCACCTACCTTGGGCCCGCTCTCTGAAATCAAATGCAAGGTCTGTTCTGCATGCTGCATTTCAATATTTTCTGGAATTGTGGGGAATGCTTAGTATCTGATGGACTTCACCCAAATGATAGAGGTTCTCAACTACTAACAGCAAACATCAGTCACGCGCTCTTGACCTCCTTAGGTGGACAGAATCAAGCCCCAATCTCTGCTCCATCTAAGCCAAATGAGACAACCTCCTGCATGGACACAAGCAACACACTGACTTCCACGGAACAACATCTTGAACTCAGTGCAATCTCAGTGGACTCACTGCCCGAAGAAAAACAACGATAGTACAGACACAATGCCATCTCCAACATGCCGGTAATCTTAACCAGCCAATGGCATGGTAAAAGCTATGCACCATCTAATAGGCCTGCACGTGCCGTTAACCTCAAAGTTATCAAAGTCCAGCCAAAGCAGATCTCCTCTCATGACATAGTGTCACAACCCCAGGTTTATGTCACGGGTTTTAGTGTTGTCTGTCTAGGTTTGGGTGTTTGCTGTCATGTTTTTCCTCCTGGGTTATCGTCTGGTCCTTTTCCCTGTGTTTTTCATGTCTGTCGTTAGTCTCCATGGTGTGTCTAATTCCCTGATTGTTTTCACCTGTCACTCCTCGTGTGTCTCCTGTGCCCATCAGTGTCAGCCCCGCCCCCCCTGATTGTTCCCACCTGTGCCTTGTTACCTGTGTTTAAATTCCCCTATCTCCCAGTGTTCAGTGTCAGTTCGTCTTGTCTGTTGTCACGTAAGGTCTATGCTCTTGGAACTCTTTGGTTTTTGATTCCTCACTACGTGAGCGTTTTCATTTTTGTTGATGTTTTGGAAAATAAAGTATCCAACAAATACTTTGCCTCTGGCTCCCGGATCTTGCATTTGGGTCCTACATACTACGTGCCTGAGATCGTAACACATAGAAGTCCAACAAATACAATTAGCCCTCCTAAATGTCAGATCTCTGAATAATAAAACCTTTTTAGTTAATGATCTGATTAAAGAAAATAACTTAGATTGCATCTGCTTAGTGGAGACATGGCTTAATAACGACACAGCTAGATCAATAATGATAGAGACCTGTCCACCAAACTCTAGCTTTGATCAACTGCCCAGAAAGAACCGAAGAGGAGGAGGGGTTGCAGCCATTTTTTCCTCAACATTTTGAACTGAATCAACCTTAATTGTCACAATATATCATCCACCTAGACACTCACCATTATCATCCCTGCCAACCTTACCGATTTGGGCGGTAGTCTACCGCTTTTGACATGTTTGTACCGCCTACCCACTTAGCTGGCTTTCCCTACCGATTTTCAATCTTCCCAAAATATAACAAATAAAAATGACACTCCATAGACACTGGACTCGACTTTTGGTGGACACCGTTTGCAGCGTGTCTGTGATCCCATCATATAAACAGTCCTCTTTGTTTCGGAAAGAGAAACAACGTGCAGACCGGGGGTAACGCTGCCTTTCCTCTGCACCCCCGGGGCTGATGGGTAATCACTCCCAAATTAGTTTAAGGGAACAGGGACGAGGCATTTGAGTCCTGCAGGGTTTCCCCGTTAATATCAGTGTCTCGAAAACACATGTTGGAGACGGAAAGACATCCAGTGTTTGGTCTTTTCCGGAAGCATCCTCCAGTGTCTCAATTGAAAGAGGACCACAAACACACAACAAATATAATACTATTTTGAGATTTGGGGATATTTATCTCCCATTCTTTCACTTTTTTAATTTTCTACTAAGTACAAGAATCTGAGAACTTCTCTC